TGTTTTTGTGTGTATATATATATGTGTATATGAGGAGCCCCCCAGTAGGCACAGCGGTATGTCTGCGGACTTACAACACTAGAATCCGGGTTTCGATACCTATGGTGGGCAGAGCACAGATAGCCCATTGTGTAGCTTTGTGCTAAATTAGAAACAAACAAACAAGTATATGAGGAGTACAGCGTAAAAATAATTGCACAATAAAAATAAATTATTAAAAACAGGGACCAGCCCTAAAACGACTAATGTTTCGGTGTTAATGTTACGCCACCATCTTCATGTAGGAATCTTTTTAGGGCTGGTCCCTGATATTAATATTTTTCTTATTGTGCAATTATTTTAATGTTTTACTCCTTTTAATTGTACGTATAAGAATAAAACTTTCCATTTATAAATAATAATGCATTCGTAAAATAATTAGAAGAGATTAAAACCTGGAGCGATTTTATCAACATTGTTGGTGAAGTAATATGTCTCTATTTTTGTTTAGTTTATGTTGATCTGGGAAGAGGCTCAGTAAACCCTGTAGTTCTTAGTGTGGTCAGCAACGGTAACAATGTGACTCGTCGATGGAAAATCAAAATTAGCATGATAAAGTGTAACAGCTTAGACATGGGTAAGTTTCTGCATATAAAAGTAAAGTAAAAATAAATAGTAAAGTATGCAACATTGTTTTTGTACTTGATAAAGAGGGTTACCAATTATGAAAACGTAAATATGTATGTCGTGATGGTTATGCTGTAAAACTGAGTTTATTTTATTTTTGTGCAATTCATTGTATTGTAAGCTTTTCACATGTATATAAAATCACGATTAGTCAGGGAACGTTATGATTCTTACCATTAAAGGCCATAGACTCAGGTCTGTATGTACAAACCTTATATATATATATATATGTATATAATTTTGAATATAAAAATATAGAGGCACGGAAATGACTTACATCAATTTAGAAGGATGAATTCACATTGCCGTGGCTCTATATACAAAATCAAACTTTTGGCCAAATTTGGAGTATTACCGCAGCTGTTCGAAATGCTGGAATGCCAAAGTGTGAAGGCCCGGCATGGCCAGGTGGCTAGGGCGCTCGACTCGCAAACATGCGGGTTCGAATCCCCGTCCCACCAAACATGCTCGCCCTTTCAGCCGTGGGGCGTTATAATGTGACGGTCAATTGCACTATTCGTTGGTAAAAGAGTAGCTCAAGAGTTGGCGGTGGGTGGTGACGACTAGTTGCCTTCCCTCTAGGCCTTTATTGCTAAATTAAGGACGGCTAGCGCAGACAGCCCTCGTGTAGCTTTGCGCGAAATTCATAACAAGCCAAACCAAAGTGTGAAATGCCAGTATTTTTATGTTTCTGAACAGATCTAAACACTCTTACATCACATTAGAAACAGCATCTTTATATCTGTTTTACGTTAAGTGTAATAAACATTGAAGACGTGTAAAATTATTGTCTTTCTTCTCTTTGGTGAAAAGGTAAAACATGTATAAAAATTTCCTAGATATTAAAGTGAGTTAGGGTTTGACAACTCTATCACAGAATGTTAATATTTTTGAATTTTGTTTGATAATTTTAATTAAATTGTTATTCACAGTCATTTGGCTAAATATGGAAAAATATGAAAAGTGTAAGATCCTAAAATTGTGTTGATAACTAGGACTTGTGTTCCATTTTGGGCGAAATGCCAGTTGTAATTAGTTTTGAAAGAATAGTGATATCCGATCAAAACATTTTATGTGTACGACACAGCCACGCTAGAATAAAGGGCCAAGCCTATAAGGATGTGGTGATTACCAGAAAAAACAAAGTTATATACATTCCAGTTGTAATAAAAACCAAGTTTTTCTCATACTTTTTTATTAAAGTTATCCACCTTTACACAATATATTTCCAATGTTTGCCCTTTTATATAACTTGACTCTTTTTTTATGTCACATCTTTATGATCCCCAGTGGCTAAGCGGTATGTCTTATGATTTATAACGCTAAAAAATGGGTTTCGATACCAGTGGTGGGTACAGCACAGATAGCCCTTTGTGTAGCTTAATAACAAACAAACAAATCTTTATATGGCTATTCTAAGTTGGTTGTTTTTGTAATGTAAAATGTTTAGATCGGATATTATTATGTTCTTACAAGAACTTTCGCACAGTGTATAATATTCCTGAAAAGGTAATGGTGGATTATTTTTTAAATACGATAAAAATAATTTCATGGAAATGTTGGTGTACTAAAAAACTATTCAAGATCTGCAAACGCTATTTGACACAAAATATTACATAAACAGCAAAATATTACTAAGGTCTATTTATATGCTTTGTATATACACAGCGTGGTCACAAGTAAATAGACACCACCTTTTCAGAAAAAATGAAATTTTTCAGTCATA